CTGGACACTATCCCTGCCCTCCAGCGTATCTACCTCTCCCCCTAGTTTAGTGTCATCTGCGAACTTGCTGAGGGTGTAATCCATCCCCTCATTCAGGTCATTAATAAAGATGTTGAACAAAGCCAGTTCAAGAACTGATCCTTAGGGCACTCCGCTAGAAACCGACCGCCAATCTGACATCAAGCCATTGATTAGTACCCCTTGGGTCCAACAGTCTAGTCAGCTTTCTATCCATCTTACAGTCCATTTATCCAATCCATATTCCCTTAACTTGCTGGCAAGAATATTGTGGGAGACCATATCAAAAGCTTTACTAAAGTCAAGGTATATCACATCCACTGACTTTTCCATATCTACAGAGCCAGTTACCTCATCATAGAAGCTAATCAGATTGGTCAGGCACGACTTGCCCTTCGTGAATCCATGTTGACTATTCCTGATCACTTTCCCCTCTTCCAAGTGCTTCAAAATGGGTTCTTTGAGAATCCCCTTCATGATTTTTCCGGGGACTGAAGTAAAGCTGACTGGTCTGTAGTTGCCTGGATTGTCCTTCTTCCCTTTTTTAAAGATGGGCACTACATTTGTCTTTTTCCAATCATCCGATCTCCGTGAGTTTTCAAAGATAATAGCCAAAGCTCCGCAATGACACTTGCCAACTCCCTCAGTACCCTCGGATGCATTAAATCCGGGCCCATGGGTTTGCGTATGTTTAGCTTTTCTAAATAGTTCCTAACTTGTTCTTTCCCCACCAAGGGCTCTCCACCAACTTCCCATGCTGCGTTTCCTAGTGCATTTGTCTGGGAGCTGCCCTTGTCAGTGAAAACAGAGGCAAAGAAAGCATCGAGTACTTAACCTAGTGACAGATGTGGAAAAAGCTGACCTCCCTCATCCAATAAGGGCTCTGCACCCTCTTTGATCACCCTATTATTGCTAACATGCTTGTAGAAACATTTCTTGTTACCCTTCACATCTCTTGCTAGCTGCAATTCCAATTGTGCTTTTGCCTTCCTGATAACTCCCCTGTATTCTTGAGGAATATATTTATACTCCTCCCTAGTTATCTGTCCAAGTTTCCACTTCTTGTCATCCTTTTGGGGTTTAAGCTCACCAAGCATGTCCCCGGCAAGCCAATATGGTCGCCTAACATATTTGCTTTTCTTGCTGCACGTTGGGATGGTTTCTTCCTGTGCCTTTAATAAGGCTTCTTTAAAATACTGCCAGCTCTCCTGGACTCCTTTCCACTTCATGTAAGCATCCCAGGGAATCCTGCCCATCAGTTCTCTGAGGGAGTCAAAGTCTGCTCTTCTGAAGTCCAGAGTGTGTATTTTGTTACTCTCCTTTCTTCCTTTGGGTCAGGATCCTGAAATCTACTGTCTCATGGTCACTGCTTCCCAGGTTGTCACCCACCTCTACTTCCCCTACTAGTTCCTCCTTGTTTGTGAGCAGCAGGTCAAGCTGTGCATGGCCCCTGGTCGGTTCCTTCAGCACTTGTACCAAGAAGTTATCCCCAACATTCTCCAAAAACTTCCTGGATTGTCTGTGTGCTGCTGTATTGGTCTCCCAACAGATGTCAGGGTGATTAAAGTCGCCCATGAGAACCAGGGCCTGTGATCTGGAAGCGTCTTTCAGTTGTCCAAAGAAAGCCTCGTCTATGTCATCCACCTGATCCGGTGGTCTATAGCAGCCCCCCGACCACAACATCACTGCTGTTGCTTCCACCTCTAAACTTAACCCATAGATGCTCAACAGTCTGGGTATGTCTACACTACCAGCTTAGTTTGAACTAGGGTGGTTAATGTAGTCAGTCGAAGTTGCAAATGAAGCCTGGGATTTAAATATCCCGGGCTGCATTTGCATCTTGCCAGGTGCCGCCATTTTTAAATCCCAGGTAGTTCGGACTCCGTGCCCGCGGCTACACACGGCACGGAGTAGGTAGTTCGGATTAGGCTTTCTAATGGCACGGAGTCCGAACTACCGGGCATGTAAAAATGGCGGCGCCCGGCTAGATGCAAATGAAGCCCAGGATATTTAAATCCCGGGCTTCATTTGCAACTTCGATTGACTACAGTAACCACCCTAGTTTGAACTAGGGTGGTAGTGTAGACATATCCTCTTTTCCTCCTCTAAATACTGGAGCTCCGCGCAATTGTACTGCTCTTTTACGTACAGTGCAACTCCTCCTCCTTTTTTCCCCCGCCTGTTTGTCCTCCATGACAGTGCTCTTCTTTATACCCTTCCATGACAGTGCTCCAGTCATGCAAGTTATCCCACCAAGTCTCCATTATTCCAATCAAATCATAGTTCTTCGAGTGGGCCAGGGCTTCTAATTCTTCCTATTTCCCAGGCTTCTCGCATTTGTGTACAAACATCTTTGATAACCAGTTGATCGTCCTGCCTTCTCCAGCAGAATCAGGGGTCCTCCTTTGTTGCTCGTTACTCCTTGTGATTCTTCCTGGTGTCTGACTACCTCACTTACCTCACGGCTTTGGTCACCGTCCCCCAACGAACCGAGTTTAAAGCCCTCCTCACTAGGTTTGCAACCCTGCCCGTGAAGATTCTCTTTCCTCTCTTGGTTAGGTGGATCCCATCTCTTCCTAACAATCCTTGTTCCTAGAACAGAGTCCCATTGTTGAAGAAACCAAAACTGTCTCTCCAACACCACTTGTGTACCCACACGTTTACTTCCTCAATTCGATGATCCCTACCCAGACCTTTTCCTTCAACTGGAAGGATGGACGAGAACACCACTTGTGCTTCAAATTCCTTGATTCTTCTTCCCAGCGCTACATAATCCGCTGTGACCTGCTCAAGATCATTCTTGGCCATTTCATTAGTTCCTACGTGGAGAAGCAGGAAAGGGTAGCGATCCGAAGGTTTAATCACTTTCGGAAGACTCTCCGTCACATCCTGAATGCGAGCTTCCAATCTTAAGCAGCAAACTTCTCAAGATTGCAGGTCTGGATGGCAGATGGATGACTCAGTCCCTCCTAGGAGGGAGTCCCTGACCACCACTACCCATTGTCTTCTTTTGGGGGTGGTAGTTGTGGAACCCTCATCCCTAGAACTATGTATCCCATGCTTTCCAGTAGATGGTGTTCCCTTCTGATTTCTTCCCTGAGAGGTCCCTACGAAAGCATTCTCCACCGCAATGCCTGTGGAGAGAGCCTCATAGTGGTTACTTACCTCTGCAGGGATGGGGGATACCTGAGTTGGCCTTCTTCTCCTTCTAGAGGTTACATGCTGCCAGTTCTCTTCTTATCCTGTACTGCCCTGACTGGCTCTTCAGCCTGCTGTGCCTGCAGGATTAAACGCTGCCTTCTATCGAGGAAGTCTTCATACTCTCTGATAGAATGTAGGGTTAATACTTGGCTCTCAAGTCCTCTAATTTTTTCTTCCAAAATGGTGACCAGCTTGCACTTAGTGCAGATGAAATCCCTTCTTTCTTCTGGGAGGAAGACAAACATGGCACATGCTGTGCAGGTAACAACAGCAAACCTATCACCATCCATACCTGCCGTCCTTCTGAGAGATTCCTCAGATGTTATTAAACGCGTCCTTGAAGGGCAGGAGTTTAGTGAAAAGATTTTAAAGAAGAGTGTGTGTATCTCGCCCCCTTCCTAACTCCCTTTCCAAACTCTGTGTTAACAGCCCCTGGTCGCTGACTCACTCCTTTATAAAGTCCTGGACTGCCTGATAGCCTCTCCCCCTGATTAAGGCTCAACCAATGAGCAGAGGCTTCTAGATTTCAACCCCTGATTAGAAGCTTCCACCTGCCAGCCACAGCACTTACTTCCCCCCTCATAGAGAGTAGGGGAAGGAAAACAAAAAACAAACTAACAGCCAAACACAAGGGCTGCGTCTAGATTGGCATGATTTTGCGGAAATACTTTTAACGGAAAAGTTTTTCCATTAAAAGTATTTCCACAAAAGCGCGTCTAGATTGGCACGGATGCTTTTGCGCAAAAAGTGCTTTTGCGCAAAAGCATCCGTGGCCAGTCTAGACACGATTTTGCGCAAGAAAGCCCCGATTGCCATTTTAGCCATTGGGGCTTTTTTGCACAAAACAGTTCTTCCCTGTCTACACTGGCCCTCTTGTGCAAGTATTCTTGCGCAAGAGGGCTGTTTCCCGAGCGGGAGCGTGAAAGTATTTGTGCAAGAAGCACTGATTTTGTACATTACAAAGTCCGTGCTCTTGCACAAATTCAAGCAGCCAGTGTAGACAGCTGGCAAGTTTTTGCGCAAAAGCGGCCACTTTTGCACAAAATCTTGCCAGTCTAGACGTACCCAAGCTCATCACACAGTAAGAAAACCCCAAACACAAACACACTACAGACAGTCACTTCCCTCAAGGGTCCTGTATTCGCTTCCTCCTTTATCTGGAGAACTCCCTCTTCAAACTCCCTGTTAACATCCCCTGTTCACAAGCTCCCTGGTCACTGACTAACTCCTTTATTGGACAGGGGAATGTAAATGCACACACATATTGTGTGTGTGTGTGTGTGTGTGTGTGTGTGTGTATGCACAGGGGCTGGATTAAGGGAGGGCTTGCGGGGTAGCTGCTCGGGGTGCCAACCTATGGGGGGCGCCTGATGGCAGCTGTAAGGGGCACACGGCGCCCCTTAGAGCTGCCATCAGGCGCCGTGTGCCCAGGGCCAGGGGCCGCGTGGTGCCCCTTAGAGCTGCCATCAGGTGCCACACGCCCGGGGCTGGAGGCCATTCAGCGCCCCTTACAGCTGCCATCAGGCACCGTGCACCCGATAGCAGCTGTAAGGTGCGCAGCGCGCCCACGGGCGGAGCAGCGGAGCCGCGCATTCATTGTGCGCCTGCTGCCCAGGGCGCAGGAATGGCTTGAGCCGGCCCTGGGTATGCATTTGCTCATGCACACACAGCACAAAAACCTCTACATTTTGGGTCTAAATCTAAATAGGTCATCTTGTTTTAAAGGCAGTCACGCACACACCAGACTGTCAGAGATTAACTAAACTCTCTTCTCTTGCAAGAATTTACCACTTGACGCCCAAGAGACTGGCAATCTGCTGCAGACCTGCATCACTGATCAGAAGAACTTGGAGAGTGATGTGGTACGTCTCTTAAGTGGAATGATCTGCATATGAATCATCCGGCGCAACCCCCCGGGGATGCACATGGCTCCGTGTTCCCTGCCACTTCCAGGCACTGCCCCCTGCTGCTCCTATTGGCTGTGATTATCGGAGTGGTGGGGGAAAAGCCTCCAGGCACCACTTTGCTGCGCTGCAGTTTCCCCAGCGAGGGGTCTGGGAAAGGACAGGGGCTGAGGATGTGGCTGCGCTCGGGGCCACTTCCTCCCCCCACCAGGCACAGCCCATGGGTCTGCTCCAGCCCTGGGCTCGCCTGATACCCGCCCACAAGGCTTGGGGCTCCCTCCCCCTGCAGCAGGGAGCTGGCACTGGTGCTGCAGCCCCTGCAGGAGGAGGGGGTGCAGTGCCAATGCTGACTCCCTGCTGTGAAGGAGGGGGAAGGAGCCCGGAGCCTTGAGGGCCAGACTGGTCCCCAGGCCATAGGTAGCCCACCCCTACTTTAGGGGCAGAAAATGCCAGTGCTTCTATTGGAGGAGTTACAGCCTCCATTTCTGTAGGAGGAAGGCCCTGTCCCTGATACTCCAGGGTTGCAGAAGCGGTGGTGTGGGTAGGCACGGCGAGGTCTGCTCCATCATGGAACCAAAACTGCTGAGCTGGTTACAATGGATAGTATTGATCCTGTTCTCCTGGTGCCTGGTTCTGTGTTGTTGCCACAAGGGGTCCCAGTTTTTATTGGTGAGTCCAGGATGAAGTCTGCTGCTCCGTTTGGGGAACGTGTATTCCTAGTCAGTTGGGTGATCCCGGGCTTGCGAGGCTCTGAAGAGTTAATGGAGGAAGAATGAAGTCCCTCCCTAGACACGCACCTTAGAAGTATGGTCATCTCTCTGTTTGGTTTTGGTTTTTTCCTTTCCAGAGGAACCTGCAGCAAAGGCTAAACCTCTATCCCAGCCCCGAGGAACTGAACAACATGGTGCCCTGGGATGTTCTGGAGAACTGCCTTGTTACAGGCAAAGACAAGAGCCCACCCGCTGTGAGTGTGACTTCTGTTAGGGATGCTGGGGGGAGGAGAATGTTTAATACATTTGCCCCCTTCCTCTACCTCTGTAGAGGGGGATAGCACAGTGGTTTGAGCATTGGCCTGCTAAACCCAAGGTTGTGAGTTCAATCCTTGAGGGGCTCATTTAGGGGTCTGGGGCAAATCTGTCAGGGATGGTTCTTGGTCCTGCCATGAGGGCAGGGGATTGGACTTCACCTGTCAAGGTCCCTTCTGTTTCTATGAGATCAGTATATTTATTTATTAGCTGTCCCCAGAAGAGTGGGGAGGGAGGTCGTGTGAATCTGGACCCTTTCCAGCCTTCCTGCGGCTTTACATGATCATGGTCGGTCTGAGACGCTCCTCTCTGGGCAGGGTGTCTGGAGCTGACTCTGGGGATCTCTCACATTTCTCATTTCTAGGCCCCAGAGCCATGAGAGGCTCCACTTGATCTGGCTCTCACCAAAGGCTTCTCTCTTGCTGTGGCCTCTGAGCAGAGCCGTGTGGTGCTGGAAACGAGGAACAGTCCCCACCTGCCTTCTTACCACTTGTTGTGATGGCACCTGTAACTGCCATTCCGCTGACACCAAGGGGCCATGACTGAGCCCTGGAAATCCGGGCCTGACTCCTCCCCAGGGCTTCCCAGTGCAGGGCTGCTGGAATGCGGGGAGGGAGAGGAGACTATGGCTCTCCCACTTGGAATCAGCCACTCTTCAGTACTGCCCAACCCCTGTCCTTCCTCATTCCGCCGCAGTCCTGCCTCCTGGCCAGGCTGGAAATGGAGCCTGGCCAGGCTGCCCTGGCATCTGTAGGGAGCTGCGGAGCCTCCACCAGCTTAAGAGGCCAGGGCTGCTCTTGGGCACCTGATAGGGTTGCCAGGTGTCTGGTATTTTACCGGACAGTCCAGTTTTTGCACCCTCTGTCTGGTAAAAAAAATTCAGAACACACCGGACAGGTGCAATGTCTGGGACTTTCTGTTTTTCCGGCTGGACGGAAGCCTGGCGGGGGCGGGGCGAGTGGCTGGAGGTTTTTTTTTTTATATGCCTTTTTTTTTTGCTCGACAAAAATTTTTAGCCGGAGTGTTCAGTATTTTTTGGGAGACCATCTGGCAACCCTAGCCCTTGATCCCTTGCAGGTGGATGAGCCTGGGCTCCCTGCTCTGGCTTCCGGCTTGACGGGGGGTCAAGGTGGGTCATGGAGGACATGGGGGCTCTGCCATCCCGTCCCAGTGTCTAACGAGCACAACATGGGAGGGGCCATTATTTGTGTGATATGAAGGATTCACATTCTTGGAATTTATCAGATTTGTCAATGGTCACGAGATTAAATTAACCAGTGGTGTGACCCCTCTGATCCATCAACTTTACCCTGTGGAGGAATTTGGCCTTTTCTTACCATGCATGTTAAAAATGCTTTTTGGATGAGCTAACTGATCTGTCCCGTTCCCTTTTCTTATCTCCAGGGTGCAGGCCTAGGGCAGCTTCCTGTTGCATTTAACTGTCTAGGGAAGTCACTGGCTGAATCTTCACGATTAGGCAGCAGGGATGTCACCTGGCCCTATTGGGGTTGGTTAAAAGGCTAGTCCTGAGTGAGGATGAATTTAACAGCTTCAGAGGGGTAGCCAAGTTAGTCTGCAACAGGAAAACCTTAAAAAACAACAAAAAGTCTAGTAGCACCTTACAGACTAACAAAATAAGTAGATGGTGGTATGAGCTTTCGAGAGTCCAACCCACTTCTTCAGATGACAGGAGTGTTAGAATCCAAGCAAGCAATCCAGATCCAAGAATAAATAAAAGGAAAGGGGGAAGGGGGAGAAGGAAAACAAGAGGAGAAAAAAAGGGGGGGGGAAGAGAGACAGTGAGTAGATATGCTTCAGAAGGGTAGCCAAGTTAGTCTGCAACAGGAAAAACTTTAAAAACAACAAATAATCTAGTAGCACCTTAAAGACTAATTAGTTACAAGAGGCTGATAAGAACCATTAGCACCTGTTGGTTAGTTAAGTCATTAAGATGTGGAAGATAATGTGCCAGCCAGCCGATATCCCAATTCATACCATTTGCTTAAGAATTAAACTTGTGAATGAAGTTAAGTTCCAACCCTTCTCTGTGTATTTGGCTTGTGGAGTTGGTCTGAAACAAAACAGCGACTTGGAGATCCATTACTGAGTGTCCAGGCAGATTAAAGTGTTCTCCAACAGGCTTCTGTGTGTTGCCTTTTCGGATATTGGATTTGTGTCCATTAATTCTTTCCCACAGAGACTGTCCAGTTTGGCCAATATACATGGCAATGGGGCATTGCTGGCATAGATCACGTTACTTCAGCGGGTCCCAACCTTTTCCAGATGGGGACTCATTTTGACAATTCAGGAAGACTTGGTGACCCAAGGCAATTCAAAAACAGGGGGGAGGGAGGGCAGAGCCGTAACTAGCTAATTTTGTGCCTGAGGCAATAATATAAAATTGAGCCCCCTCCTGTTTATATATTCATAGTAGTTATTTCATAGAAAAACTGAAAATACATTAATAATAAAATAATAACACTACATTTATTTGAGTTGTGGTAGGGGAAAGACACTCATCCCCAAACCACTCCCTGCCGGCTTGAACCCCACACTCAGAGGCTGGCGGAGTCACACTCAGGGGCTGGGAGTTGTGTTACTTCCAGTTGAAGTACAGAAATAGAGGAGGGTGGTTTTGAATATCCCCGCTCCCTTCTTCCCCTCCCCCACTTGCTTTGAGCTAGTGCCATTAGTAAACTGCTCCCACTCCATTGGTTTCTAGGAAGGCCAGTCTGTGGAACCCGGCCACAGCCAGCCCTCTGCAACCAAGCAGCCAGCTTCAGCTATGGATGCCCAAGCTACAAAACCCTCTGCAGCCTGGGCAGGGGCACCAGGGAGCCAGCCTGGCACTCCAGGGACCAGGGCAGGAGTGCCAGCAGCCCAGCCAGCAGACCGGCCAGTCAG